ATGGCACTTACCATCTGCACAGCAACTTCGATTTCCAATATGAGAGCTGTTTGGAGCCGCAGCAGAGGTATCCGAAAACTAATCATGAAACCAAAGTTGAATAGCTCTGCATTTACTATAAAGTATAAACATTTGCAGCAGATAATTTCATCTTCTTTTAGCATGTGTTTCACCCGATCCTTTTGACAATTATGGCTAGAGATGAATGTTTTCACCTTGTGTGTTCATCTAATATTGCACTATTAGATAGCAGTTTTTTTTTGCATTTGATCCCCCGGTCGACTTTCATTTGTTCCACATTTGGTGAATGATTATAGTCTATAGATTTTTCGCCACTTTTGGTCATTCCAATCTATTCTTCGTGAATAGTTTTTTGCCCATCAAGTGATCAGAATGACCTCGAAAGTGGCTAGAAATCTATAACCATGCACCATAAGTGAAATATATTCTATGTTTTGAAAATGCCAAATTTTGGAGGAGTCTAGGTAATTGTTTGCAAACTTCACTAGACATCCTACCTTATTTGTTTTCACAAAGATCAAATTATACGTATTTCAATTACCTAACATGTAAGAGCTCCGTAAAACTCATCATTTTGTGAAAATTATCGTTCCATCCTGAATTTATCTTCTCAGTGGCCTACTTGAATATACGTATAATCAATTTCATCTTCAATCTTCACTTCCTAAAGAGCCAGAACCGTGAAGGCTCTTGAATTCCATCGGAGACTGTACTGTAGATGCCTCAGATATGTCACTTGCCTCATTTAATTCATGATGATTATCAGCAAATTGATCAAAAGTTGAAAGTGAGTAATATCCCAAACAGATTTCTTCATTACTATGATGTCCATCCATTCTCCATTCCATTTTATGACATTAGCTCCAGATGGCCGGATTTCTAAACTGAGCTGCCATTGCTTCAGATAGAAATTTCACCAGCTTCTCTTTCTCAACTTCCTTTTCCTTCCTAAGCTCAAGATGTCGAACCTTAACGGATCCTTTTTGAGAAACACCCGTGTCGGTGATGAGGACAAGGCATTTGATGTCATGTTCACTTGCATATTCATATTGTTCAGTTAGGCTTGGATCACACAACGGTACAAATTCAGCCTTGATATTTTCCTCCCATAGCTCAGCCACTAGTTCCATCCTCTCTACCAATAACCCACCACCTCCTCTCGAACAAACAAGAATTTTTGTCCCCATATCATTTCTGTAGGGTAGAATGTCCGCAGAAACGTGTTGCAAAATAGTCTCCAAAGCAACACTAGTCCCAACAGCGCCAGGATAATTTTTCAGTTTATTCTCTGAATCCCCAATGTTATGGAACAGGTGGTCGTAGCGTCCTCCAATAGCAAGTAATGTTCCCTCCATCCCGGGGCTATTGTCTTCCCGTAAATATATCTGGTAATACAAATTCCTGTGATAACTCTCGGTTGGTGGCATCAGCACATCTACATAGACACGCTTCTCAATCTTCCAAACTCTTAAATAGTTAAAAAGATCAGAAATTTCATCAAGTGCCTTGTGTGTCAAATCATCAGCAGGAAGGGCACCTCTGAGTCGTGGAAGGGCCTGATCAGCAACCACACAGAATCTCAACCCAACAGTTTGTAGTCTATTCAGTACAGTTTCACCAAGATTAAGCTCCTGTCGGAGTTGCCTTCGTGTTTCAACCCATTTTCTCTTTCTTTCAGAAGACTGAGGACGCAAGGATCCCAACACAGAGAGAAGCTCAGCAACTTTTTTCCTGTGCTCATGTTTGATGCCTACCCAAGTCCAAATTGCTTCCAACAGATCGCCATGATTTAAATGAATATCGCATGATTCTGATCTAAAAAAGTGAGTAATAATGTCCATCGAGACTTTGATGATCTCTGACTCTATCAATGCTGTTGCTCCTCCAACAATGTCAAAATCTCCCTGTAGATAGCGATTTGGGGGTGAGTGACCAATTGGCCGTCGGTAGACGTATGAAATTTCATAACGCTTGTAAAAGGATTTCTGGTTTGCAATCACCCATTTTACAAACGGCAATCGTAGTTCTTGACAAAGCTCAATCATGTCTCCCCCATGGGTCAAAAGCTTGACGGCACTCCTACTTGACTGCAGGCAATCACCCACCATTCGCATGTGAATGATCTCCAAATGTTTTGCACAATGTCGCCGGCATATTTCTTTAGCCACCTCCATAACATTATCACGATTATTTGTCGCAAAATCACTGAATAGGATTGATGAAGTATCATTTCCCGATACCATCAGTCTTCCATTATTCTCAGTATGATCTTTTGCTGTTGGCCTCTCCTCATTAAAAACGGCACTGACAATTTTATCATATATAAATGTATCATCTGAGGTATGAATTGCCCGTAACATATCGTCTAGCAAATCATACTCCATCCGAGGTGGAAAGGCATGTTGAAGAAGTTCTGTTGCTGATGGGCGATTTATTGGAGTCGGGGACATCATGCGCCGCAGCAAGGATGCCTGATCTGGGAATTCATCAACCCAAGCGGGGGGGAGTTCTCCCTTTTGCTTCAGATTAGAAAGAATAACATGCCTCTCCATTGCTGTATCAAATGGATGCCACAACTCAAAGAAAACAACTCCTAAGCTGTACATATCAGCCTTCTCATTGATCTTTGGCCACCCTTGCTCTATTTCAGGTGCAGTATAAAAGTAAGTACCGATGTGACCAGTACCATCAACAGAACTTCCAACTATCTCAGCAGCGTCAAAATCTTGATCCAGCTGTTCTAGTTTCAAGAACTTTGCAAGCCCAAAATCCCCAATTTTAATGTCATTGCGAGCACCAAAAAAGATGTTATTAGGAGTCAAATCACGGTGAATGATTCCTTGTCCATGTATGTGTGCCAATCCTTCTACAATTTGTCGGAATAAATGCCATGCAAAATCCTTGTCAAAGTGACTATATGACTCAAACATCTGCTTAAGTGTCCTGCAAAGAATTAAAGGGGAAACATTATGAATTTGTGGGTGGGTATTGGAGAGCAATGAGCTTATTGTTTCCTATCTTCAACTATAATGTCCTCGAATCAAAACTGTTTTTTTATTCATGATCTTCTTTCCTTCTTTTGATGTAGTTTCTAAATGTACATTATGGTTGAGAAAAATAAACAAGTACAAGACGAAAGGCAGAAACCAACTACATAGCCATATTGCAGAATATACAAGCATGATCTAAGGCCGATATTCAGTAGGAAATGACATACAATCGAGTTCAACCCACTGATAGAAGTTCTAAAAATGAAAAGCAAACACCTTCCCCTTTCCTTTGACTACCTCAACTACAAACCTAATATAATTCTAAGTCCATTGGGGTCTAGAGGGTCAAGATGATCGCAACCTTACCCCTAGCTATTTCCGTTAGATCATTTATGCATCGCTGCATTTACCGCCCAAAACTTTACAGAAAGAAAGAAGCCGGGGAAGTTTAATGTGCCATTTTGATTTAGTCCATTATTTACCAGAAGCTAAAACATTATGAAATGCTCTCTTCGTCCCAAAAATGCTGTCTCACTTCAAACAACATGCAAAAATTCCATCTCTTTTAAAATTATTTTATTTACAATTGGTATAGAAATGAAAAGTACAAATTGCATACTTCAAAACTACGTCAAAATTCTATAAAACAAATGTGACAAGAACATTTTACTTTTTCAAATAATCAATGGAAACACACAAATAAACAAAAGTTATCAGGAAACCAGAATAGTAAGTGAGACGATATTTTTGGGACGGAGGGAGTATCTCTTTTAGCTCCATTGGTAGTGGACACAAGAACAAGAAAACAAAAAAAACGATAACGTCTAACTAACAAGACCAAACAACAAAGAGCTAAAATGTATTAATCCCAAAACACATTTTCTCACAACCCAAAGACCCATACAAAGGTTATACAACTCTAATATGACATCTTCAAGAACTTCTATAGGAGGCCAAGTCATTATTAAGGTTTAACATTGTCATGTCCAATCTTAGCTACTAATCCCACAACTTTTGTGGCCTGCCTCTACAACCCATTCTTTCCGTCACATCTCCATAATCCCACATATTATGTTTTTCTTGTTCATGATCTCACTACATTTCAAGTGATTGTACATGGAAGAAAATTATAATAACATAGATAACCTTGGGCAGTACTCCATTTGAATGTACAGATATGTTGACTCAAGCTTGTTCTCATTCCCAAAAGCATCGGATGAGCTTGCCTCCTTGAAGCTGAAACTAGAGCTCGTAACAGTCCTGGAGCCAAACATGGCATCACTAGAACCAGCAATCCCTGTTTCAAACCATGCCTGGAAGCATTAAAATTGTCAGTAGATTTGAAACCAGAAAAAGAATTAGTCTGTAGAATAGAAGCAGTGTAGCTTGGAGATTATTGGCATTCAGAGAACTTGAAAACTAGTTTACACTGTGCAACATGTTGCAATAAAAAATGAAAAATAAGCAAAGCAACAGTAATAAAGAAAATACAAGTCTTTTCATGATAATGAACCTGGTAATAGCGGACCACATGCTGATGTTGCAACCTCGAAAGTGTGGTAACTTCTCTCAAAATATGGTCATTCAAGGGCGGGTTCTTGTCCTTCATCCGTATTTTCTTGACAGCGTATTGTCTCCCATCCAGTTTATTCTTGCAAAGTACAACATGACCAAAGCCTCCATGCCCAAGGGGTCGTAGCTCCTCAAAGTCATTTAAATAACGTGATGTTGGACTAGAGAGAGAATTTTGTACTTCCAAATCGGAGGAAGCTTTCCAAAACTGTGAAATCTTAGATGAAACCATATGTTGCTGAAATGCCCGACTAAAAGCCTTGTTAAAAATTGAAGGTGGTTCGTTTGCCAAATCTCGCACTTGCTCTGAAACAAGCCCTAGGTTGAACAGCTCTGACAATATTCCAGGCATTGCATCAGATAGAGGCCCTTTAGGAGAACAAGAAAGCCGCAACAAATGGGCCAAAATTAAATCTTTCTCCAGAAACCCAGTTGATTGTTTACAGAGAGTGGATTCCGACATTCCACATTCTGAAGATTCACTTTCCATACCACTGGATTCACTTCCTTCATCACTTCCATCGTCAGTTCCTGATGGATTGCCTTCTGCAAAAAGATTATTCACAATGGCAACGTTTTCAATTGATTCATAGCTGTCAGACAATGTCCTACTCAAATCACCAGAACTACTACTCCCGCCTTCACTTTCTTCCTCGAGAGTACCCAAACTTCTGGTAGACTTATGCAATGAAACTCGCCTAATGTCTGGATCCATCATCAATGGCTCCATGACTTTGTCAACTTTAGAAGTTGGAACATCTGGTTCATTTTTTAAGCTCTCTAATGTGGTCATATTCACTAAAGAATCTAACCTATCATTCCCTTCCATTATCATGTTGCAATGCCATGATTCCGCGGAACCATTAAAAAGATCTACGAAGCCAAAAACAAAAGGTCCTCTACAAGGTTTGCAGGTAGCAATTACAGCATCCTTCTGAAAAATCTGCTCATTTATACGCACTGTTGATTCAAGAAGTTGCTCTTGAGGCAATATTTCAGACAAGAACTCTTGAGCAGCTTCCACCAAATTGTAAATCATTACACGACCTTCTCGAGCATTAGAATTAGCCTGATCATTAAGTAGTGACAGAAGGTTGTCTGCATCAACTTTTGATAGGCCTTTCTCTGGTATTATTTTCAACTTAGGGCATTTGTAAGGGTATCCAGATACACACCTTACAGAAAGAAGAGCAGACACATTGGTATCCTCAATCCCCACATCTTTTGAGTAAGGTCTGAGCTTGAGAGTAATTTGTGGAGGAAACTCAGAAACGACTTTAAGGTCATCTTGAAATATTGCAGACAATGCAGTAAGCTCTTCTGCAACCAACTCAGCACTATCTTTAGCAAGTGAATTCTGATCTTTAGTCAAGGATCTTCCCTTGCTTCTCCGCCCAGTGTCACTCCTCTTCTTCTTCTTTTTTGAACTCTGACCCATTCGTGGTCTAGCAAAAAACGATAAACTTTACCTTTTTCCTATGAAATGAGAGGCTCTGTAAAAAAAAGGAAAAATTAAACTTTCATTGTTAGGCCATACTGCCCCAGTAGTACTGCAGGAAGAACACCAAGAAGCAATACAACAAACAACAACAACCCAGTAGAATCCCGCAACAGCAGGTCTGGGGAGGGTATGTGTACGCAGGCCTCACCCCTACTAAAAGTAGATACCTATTTCCAAAAGACCCCTATCTCAAGCAACACAAAGAACAACTAGTACAACAAAAGCACAATACAACAAGAGCCTAAGGAGCAAACAAAAAGGGAAGAAAAGCATGCTAAGATAAAAGGCACCTAAAAAGATGTAAAAAGAAAAACCTCAAGCCTACAAAGCACACAACGAAGAGTATAAAACTACCACCCCGGACAAAACGACTAACCAACAACCCTAGTCCTAGATCTTCAAACGTCTCTATCTAAGGTCAAATCCTCGATGAGAGCTAGAAGTACTAAGGGGGGTGTATTGAATTTGGATTTGGTAGGATTTTTTTAGATTTTTAAAATCTGATTGTATTCAATTTGGATTCTCAAAAGTCTTTAAAAATCTTAAGGTATTCAATAGGGATTTTCCAAAGTCTTTAAAAATATTGAAGTATTCAACTTGGATTTTCAAGAGTCTTTAAAAATTTTTTAGTATTCAAAAGTCTATGAATTTTAATACTCTATGGATTTTGTTGGAATTTCTCTCCAAAAATGCTTAACATTTCACTCCTGGAAATCTTTTCTCGCAATCCTAGATTTCAATGGACTTCCATCCGTTAGTGGTTTCCGTAGGCGTAGAAGTGGATTCCAAGCTCGCCTCACTATCAATTTCATCCGTCCTCTGTGTAGGCCTAGTAAATGCATACAGAGTATACATATTCAGCCCTTGATGTAAATTGGAAGACCAAGTGACGAGCAAATTCTAAAAACTAGAGATACAAATTCCAACAAAGCAAAATATGGAGATAAAATCCAAACATTCTGCCCGAATTTGCCGATCCAATATACTGCATGCTCCAACCGACGCCTCTCTTCTGTTTGAGAATTTGATCGGACAAAAGGCAGAGGATGGAGAGATCAAAATTTGAAAGAAGAAGGCCGAATCTACATATTTTTAAAACTCTACAACAATTTTGCAAATTTTTCAAACTCTACATGGACTCTACAAAAGATCAGCCAAACTCTATATGGACTCTACAAATTTTTCAAATCCACTAACTTTTTGAAATCTAAAAAAATCTAATAAAATCCTAATTGAATACACCCCCCTAAGTCCTGCTTAATAACCCTCTTCCTATTCTTCCTAGGTCTTCCCCTTCTCCTAAACCCACCAGATGTCGAAAACATCTCACATCTCCGCACCGGGGCCTCTGGTTCACGCTGCTTCACGGGTGCCACTGCCACCCGTCTCTGAATAACCTCATTCCAAATCCTATTAAACCTCATCTGCCCACACAACCATCAAAGCATACGCATCTCAGCTGCATGGAACGTGGGCCTTTTTGACCGCCCAACACCCAACTACGGACTGATAGAACCTACCTTTCATACTTTTTGAAATCTTCTTATCGCAAAGAACCCTTGATGCCAACTTCCACTTCGCCCAAGCAGCTCTGATACGGTGAACATCCCCGTCTATCTTACCATCCGCCTGAATGATCGAGTCAAGGTACTTAAACTTATCTCTCTTAGGTACAGGGTGTGCATCAATCCTAACTTCCACCTCTGACTCTGACATCCACCCACTAAACCTAGACTCTAAGTACTCAGTCTTAGTCTTTCTTAGTTTAAAGCCCTTAGATTCCAAAGTCTGACGCCACAACTCCAACTTGTCATTGAGTCCTTCACGAGTCTCGTCAATCAATAAAATATTGTCAGCAAAAAGCATGCACCAAGGGACCTCCTCCTGCACACTATGCGACAAAACATCCATCACTGTGGAGAACAAAAAAGGACTAAGGGCCGACCCCTGCCCACCTTTACAAGGAAAGGATCAGAGTTACCCCGACAGTCCTCACCCTACTCATTGCCCCCAATGTACATATCCTTAACTGCACGAATATACGCAATCAGAACCCTCTAAACTCAAGACATCTCTACAATATCTCTCTCTGGACCATTAGCCTCCATAGGAGGTGAATAGCTTCGGTGGTCGAACAACCAAGCATGAAGCCAAATTGGTTCTCAGAAATACACACCTTCCGCAACCTAACCTCTATGATACGCTCCCAGACCTTCAAGGTATCACTAAGAAGTTTGATGCCTCTGTAATTATCGCAACTTTAGATATCATCTTTCCTCTTGTATAAAAGGATCACCACACTTTCTCTCCATCCATCAGGAATCTTGACAGTCCTAAAGATTACATTGAAGAGCTTGGTAACCCAAGCCAAACCGCTGCTCCCAACACACTTCCAAAACTCCACCAGAATCTCATCCAATCTCAAAGCTCTCCCTCCTCTCACTCCTCCAATGGCCTTTACCACCTCTCTTTGGCTAATACACTGAAAGTATACAAAGTCCCGATGTCTCTCTAACCAACTCATTTTACCAATTCTTAAATAACTAGTAAAATGACATTTTACCTTGCTTCAATTGCTTCCAAACAGGCTCGTAATGTTTTGGAGAACAGAAAAATGTATCCTCCAACAAATGTGCAAATTCAATAATTGATGGTGTTAGAAAGAAAGTGTTGTTATGCTACAGAACCACACTTCAGACCACACCTCTACCCAGCAATCCAAAGTCCCGATGCCTCTCTTGGCAAAACTAGACAAGCAACCCATGTGTTAGAAAACACAAATGGTTTAAATATAGGAATGGTGCATTACATGCATTGGAATGGAAAGAACTTACAAAGAAAATCTCAGAAGAGATGGTTTTATAAATGCTGGGTGGAGGTGTGGTCTAAAATCTGGTTCTGTAGCATGACAAAAATTTCTTTCTACTTTCTAACACCATCAACTATTGAATTTGTGTATTTGTTGGAGGGTACATTTTTCTGTGCCCCAGAACATTATGAGCCCGTTTGGAAGCAAATGAAGCAAGGTAAAATGTCATTTTACTAGTTATATAAGAATTGGTAAAATGAGTTGGTTGCAGTTATGATTTGCAACTTGGTAAAATATTAGTCAATGGTGAAACTGAATGCAAAACTTAAAAATCTTCAAGGGTGATACACATTCTACTTAGAAATGGAATATGTTTGCAGAAATCTCTGCACCATTGAAGGCTACATTTTTTACTAAAATGCACAGAGATTGAACGCCAAAAAATAGGAACATTGGTACATGGAAATTTATTAAATCAAAATCTCTGATGACCTTCATGTACATCCAATCCAACTGAAACCTGAGATATGAGAAAATGAAGAATCGTACCGATGGAAAATGCTGTGATCTCAGACCGTAGAGAGCCAGAGAAATCTCAGTGATCCAGTTCTCCAGGGAAGCTATTTGAGTATTCGCGGCTGCGGACGGCGGACTACAGTCGTCACTTCCGGTTGAATGGCGGCCTCGTAGCTTCCGGCGAGTTAGCGCCCTCGCCGCTGCGCGGCGATGGAGCTAAATTGGGAGGACGATGTTTTTGGTAGTGATATTGGAGGTTGTTGACGCTGATCAGATACGTTTGAAGCTCTTCGGAGTTCGGAGGCGGCGGGTTGCCAATTACGTGACGATAATAAATATAATAATATTCAAATCAAATAAAACCATATCAAAATTTATTTTAATCAAATAAGAATATGACCCAAAAGGCCAAAAGTGAAACTCCTCTCTCTTAAACGAGTCTTTAATGTTA